TGTGCTTTCAACTTTAGAAAAAATGACAAATGACATTGATCAGATGAGAAGTGAAGTTGGAAACATACAAGACAAGTTGGAGACCTTAGTGATGGCCCGACAAGAGGAATCACAGTATCAAGGTCTGTTTGTGTAAAACTGCGGTTTGGGTTAGACCTCTTTTAAATAACTGACCCAAAGTTTGCAACCAACGAGGCTCAAACTGTAACTAATAAACTAGCGAAATATACTGACAAAACTTGGCATGTCATCGCACGAAAAATTATGGACAGTATAGTAATGAGTTGCTGTCTGTTTTCAAAACAGATTAAAGACAAACAAATTTGAATGAAGAACGAAGAAATGAGACCTCTCATCGCCATCTGTGTAACCTGCGAGGCTGTCGAGTTAGGGTTTTGCCTTACAGCTGCCTTTTAAACCATCGTCACACGCTTGTGGAAATAGCTACTGAAACCTCTGCCAAAGCCATTTGACATGATACACAATAGATCTGGAAATTAATGTCGTTCCTTAGCAATGACATTAAGTTATTTTTGAAAAGTTTATTGTTTTTCATACACGATCTATTTTAAATGGAGTGGCTATCAGTTGACGCTTCTGCTCCGCTAATAATATTGAAATGTTCATCCTCAGGGGACATCAAAAATTACCTTAATCAAATCAAAATTGATGTTGGAAACATGAGCCACAGGTTGGACGATTTGGTGGCACAACAAAGAGAAACGAAGCAGCAAGGTGCGTACTGCGCTAACTAACTAACAGTTGGAAGACGGGCTCAAGTTAGTCTTTGAGGGCGAAGCTTGAGTCAACTATCACGCGTGGAACTGAGAGCGAAAAATCCAATAGATTAATTCATATCTAACAGTCATTTAAGACTTGAAAAAAAGACAGGCTAGTATATTTACACTAAACCCTAAGAACATTACTGCTTGGGGAGAATAATTTGAAATATTGGGGCTGGAATCGGTTACAGCATTATTTTTATTTCATTACAAATTGAATCAGATCCTTCTATGGGAAAGAAGAACTCTTCATAATTTGCCTCACATCCAACGTGTGGTTTTCTTAGCTCAGTTGTTAGAAGTGCAGCATCTGGAAAGTACGGGTTCGAATCCCCTTGAAGCCTGAACATTTCAGGGTTTTCTTCCTGCAATTTTTGAAATTGCAGCTCACCTGTGGCTTTATTTATGACAGAATGGCAATAAATAATTGTCACCGGCATTGTAGAGGATCCAAGTCTCGAACTTTTCAATTTCTGGAATGAATATACTTCAATTTCACCAACTGAGCCAAAGAAGCAAGCTGGGGAATTATGTCACTTACCAGGCTGATTTTCTGACCAACGTCGTGCAGATAGTTAAGATTGGCAACATGACGCAGGGAAAGGAAGTAGGCTGAGAAAGTTTTAGGCTCGTTTATAGAGACTTAGTAAAGATCTTTCACATGGATCAGTTTTATAACACATTAAACTTACTATGAGAAATCTG